ATTGTTAATTTGTTAATTTGATCATCGAATATTCCAATCCCTACTTGCAAACTATCATCTAGTATGACCCGAATGGAATTACGAAAGCGGGGCAAGATAAACTTATGTTCCCTGCTCATTTATGATGCCACTCTCAAGGCGGACTCGTTGACGGTTTGTTTTCTGCATTCCTATTCAACAACAACAAAAAAAGATTTTAAATTTCGTGCCGTTTATCCCAGATGAAAATAAGTATAAGTTAACGATTACATGACAATGGGTRAGATCCTGTAGGGGCATAGTCGCACTCAGTGGCGTAGGTAGGTTTAGAGTTGAGGTAATGGTATGATATATGTTCTGGAAAACTAGTCCTTCGAAGGTATCAGTAAATGAAACCTAAAATCGACGACATAAAATTTTAAGCTACTGAGCGAGGTCGTTGAGCAAGAGTAGCGACAGAGTTACCGCGCGCCATATCTGCACTTTACTTTGCCGCACATTTGACAGTTAAAAGACTTTCAAGAGGCGATAAACAGCCACTACATATAGTAATAATTGATAAAAGGCGCCAACTGACTTCATCGTAAACAAAATGAAATAAAAGACTAAACTACGGTCTAGCTTCATGTGTATTTTATAGAAAACAGAATTCCGAACCTTGGCTGTAAGATGAAACGTATGTGTAGACACTTCAAAATATGTGTAGACACTTCACTTGTGATTAATCCGTTTTTCATATCTTCAATTATGATACTTTTCAAAAACTTTTCTTTGGAAAACGCTTCGGATTGTTTTTACCTAATAAATGGTTTAGCTAATCACGTTATGGCTAAGACAGCTCTGTACAATATTAATTGCATGGCCAAACTCATCATTTTATTAATTACGCTGTCGCTGGAAGGCTGTTAGCCAGCGAAAAGTTCAAAGCTGTTTTGTAGAGTATAGGGTACTTAGAGTACCTGTATATGTATATAAAGTCGATCTTTTAAAATAATTAGATATATAGTCTCACCTAAAGTCCGGAATTTCGTGTCATTTATTACTTAAAGTTCGCGTGATTGAATACTTCGAGCCTAGGTYGTTCTCAGAAATCGTGATAACAAAGCGTCACCTTGTACGTGTTCGACAAGGTAATTACGTGATGTATATCGGCCAGTTAAAAGATATTAGAGACCGAGGTCGAGGGGAATGAAAAATTGGGTCAACTTGTCAATATTTTAGTAGACGCCATCTTGGAAATATTTTCCTAAAACCGTCCCACAGTGCACTACAATGCCAACTCCATCCAGCGTTTTGCCTTTAAAACTTCAAATGGTAAATATCTTTTGACTGGCCGATAGGAACAGACTTCGAGCACGGTACTATGGTTTTCGCTTACTTTGGTTTAATTGCCTTAACCTAGGGTTAACGACGGACGTCCGATCCCCTGAGTTCTTGGAGGATTTTGAAAACAGACAGCAAAAGATGCATTTTTAGTTCAATATTCGGATACGTGCGAATATCTCGCCATCTTGCCCTGGATTTTAATATTCCCCTTCACATTTCCCTGCGACATTTTGAAAGGTAGCTGTGCCTTGCATCGAAGCGAGACGAACGGTGTGCTTGCCATGATAGAGACATGTGAATAATTGTTCAAGGTGTTAAAAAAGTCTCTGTTCACTGTCTCTGTCTCTGCTCACTGTTCGTCTCGCTTCGATGCAAAGGCATGGCTACCTTTTAAGATGGCGATGGGAACTGTGAAGGGGACTATTCGTWTTGGATTAGATATGACAAGGCGCAAGACCGAACGTAATGCGACACAAACCGGCTCCCTAGACAMCAATACACCCAGCATCGGTTGAACACCTGCATTTGTAACGCGCATTCCATATAACATATTTATAATAATGATAATACACCTTTTGCTGTTCATTAACCGCAAAGGAATATTCATTGAAGCGAAGAAGCATTGTCATTAGAGCGAACAGGCATACAATAAGGCGAACGGAGTCTCAACAGTGCGATGGAACTTTCATTAAGAAATTTAGCATTGAATTTGACAATCATGAATATGTTTGCGTGGGTTCATTAACGTTTTCAAACTTTCATTAGCRTTTTGGTGCAGTCAATAAACCACAACACACTTTCAATACAACGTTTTGGACATTTATTTACGCAATACAATATAAGTATATTTTCCACTAGGAATTGTAGGATTTTAACTGTCTTTTCATTTTTTTTTTTACAAGCCGTGAATATGATTTCGTACAAACAAAGCGCCGTTAGGTATAAATATCAAGTCAGTTCTGAGTTTTTTAATCCCTCTTTTTTGGATATTGCAATGGCACAACAAAGAAACCAAATTCCAAATGAAGTCAGATAGCGTCTTGTGAGGGCCTATGAAGATCCACAAAAATGCATAAAATGGTACAACCACATGCAAACATATCGTCCAAGATGTTTAAATAGAGAACACATTCAAGGATAAATTCACTTTTTTGTTTTTGAAAATGTACAATCGTAAAAGCACAATATACTTATATTGTATATTGCGTAAATAAATGTCCAAAACGTTGTATTGAATGCGTGTTGTGGTTTATTGTCTGCCCCAAAACGCTAATGAAAGTTCGAAAACGTTAATGAACCCACGCAAACATATTCATGATTGTCAAATTCAATGCTAAATTTCTTAATGAACGTTCCATCGCACTATTGAGACTCCGTTCGCCTTATTGTATGCCTGTTCGCTCTAATGACAATGCTTTTTCGCTTGAATGAATATTCCTTTGCGATTAATGAACGGCAAATGGTGTAATAATAATGATGATGATGATGATGATGATGATGATGATGATGATGATGATGATGATGGTGATGATGATAATATTAATAACCTTTATTTACCGTGGTCAATGGACTTATGTCTAAATCTCTTTCTCTTTCTCTTTCTCTTTCTCTTTCTCTTTCTCTTTCTCTTTCTCTTTCTCTTAATGTCGACATCACTTGTCCTTCCCATGATAATAAAATCCTCTGTACGAGGTTATCCCGCGAAGCTTAATCAATTCTTGGAGGTTACTCTGACGAACAATCATATATACGGGGAATGACTAAATTGGGTAATAATAATAATAATAATAATAATAATACTTATCATCATAATAATAATAATAATAATAATAATAAAGATATTTTATATAGCGTCAATTCTAAGAGTTCAACAACGCTTTACATTCTTAATACATTAAAGGGTAAGGGTAACAAGGATTTGATCTATCATATAAGACTTTGTTTCATATTTACTTTTCTTTGCCCTTTTTCTTCTTTCATTTTCGTTCGTTTATTTGTTTAAGATTGCTCCAAACCACTGGATGTTGGAATATTACTTGACGCGTCAGGTAGCATCGGTAGAAGGAGATGGGCAAAAGTTGTCAATTTTGCCCAGTCCATGGTGAACTCCTTTAAAGTCTCCGAAGGAGGTTCCCATGTTGCAATACTACTTTACAGTACCAAGACATCAATCGAAGTGGGGTTCAATACATTTACTGGAGCACAGAGGACGGCTTCTAACATCAATGCTAAAATAGCGGCAATAAACTATCGGAACTGGAAAGGGCTGACCTACATTGATCGTGGGCTCAAGACGGCAAATGAAGAACTGTTTACCGCAGAAGCTGGAATGAGGACAAGTGACGACATTAAAAAGGTAAGTTTCTTTTGTATAGAAATAGGAACAGAATTTTTGATCATCAGTTCTTACTAGAAACTGGATAGACCATTGATTGACATTATTTTATATCATTTTACTACCACTATCCCAATGCTTGGCGAATTTTCTGTTTTATTCAAATTCATGAGAAAATAATAAGACAATTGCTGCTAATTAACTGAACAAAAGAAAGTGTGCAAGGGAGTCTGGTAGTGGCAGTAAATGACGCTATAATGCAAGTAACTTTTTTCGTCGATACATTTTAAAAGTTTAGAATGGTACGGGTCAGTCTCAGTTCGTCTGGAAATTATCCCAAAATACACCTTCTAAGACTGTAATAGCGTTTGCTGTGTGTTGCTGTTGCTGTTGCTTGCTGGCGAATGACAGATTTCGCATSAGCAAATCTGCAGTGGTGTCTAGTGAAATAGCCGGGAAGCACCAAGTGTTGATGGGTGCATGTACGCTGATAATGCATCACCTCTCGATTCTGTAATTGTAGGCTTAGTCTTGCKAGCAGCTTCCACGTGCAAGTCAAGCTGCTGATTGCTTAAAGATCTCTCATGTGCTGTTTAATAAACGAGCAGAAGTGTATTATCGGGTCTAAAACACGAGGCGTAGCCGAGTGGTTTTAGACCCGATAAAACACAATCTGCGAGTTTATTAAACAGTTTAAAAAACTCATGTATGTTCTCATATTGTACCGAATTCTTTACGAAATGAACCGGGTTTGATAGAGAAAACCCAAGTTAAAGTTTATGCAAATGAAGACGAATCTATATCAGATGTAAAACTTCCTTCATGATGGTCATGATTTCTATTCATGAAGTGTTTCCTTCATGAATTATTGATGCATTTTATAAGAGCTCTTAAAGTACCCTCTATTCTTTTTAAAAGTTGTTGTACTCTTTTCCTCCTCGGTAAGATTAACTTCCAAAATTCCAATTCGATCAATCAGTTCATTGACGCTTGTTAGCCACTACTGGCTATTAGTGCTACACTCAAAAATAGGGACGATTTATTATGTCATCTGAACACATTTCCTTTACAGCTTTATGTAGAACATTCTTAATATAATGTCTAAGATCATACTTAACGTTGTGTTCAAGATTCTCATCTTATTCACGGATGGTAAACAAACAAAGGACAGGGATCCCTACACAGAGCTGAACGTAGCTTCACAGCCAATGAAAGACAAAGGAATTGAAATATATGCACTCGGTGTTGGGAAATCCTCGAGCATAAATGTTAATGAATTGCAGCAAATAGCAAGCAAAACAGAAAATGTCTATACAGCCGAGACTTTTGATGAATTAGCTACGCTTGCTATAAAGATCAGTCGGGCTTCCTGTGGCATCCCGCCACCTGTCCCACAAGGTTTGTTCTAACAGTTATTACTATATGTAGTTATTACTTCTCGTTACTACTTCTTGGTTCATGGTAGTGGATTAAATTAGTGCGCATGCTCGTAAAAGTAAAAAGTGGTTCTTCAGAGAAAGTACCACGTGCTCCAATGTGCTCTAGAATTACTTTGAGAGAAGGACGAAGTATATAACACACCCCATTGACAGCCACGCAACTTACAATCATGAGTAAAGCAGTTTTTGTATGACTGCAAAAAGCGCGGTGCCGTATGCGTGCCTTGCCACGACCGTGATGTTTTCTAGAATTTCGATTGGCTGAATTTTTTTTAGGCAATATAATTAGTGACCTTGGCGTAACCGTGTCTGTGCCGTGTTCATACCATGTTTACCATGTTTAGGGTATCTGWTTGGGATGGAAAATAAAGTTTTGCGCAATGTAATTGGTCTGGCGTATGCCTTGCCGTGTTTCGACCGCGTTCGTGCCGGGAACTTTTCACAGTCATGCTTAAACTGTTCTGATTGATTACTACAGCAGTACTGTTTTGCCTTTGATACTGAGGTGGGATGCCAACCGGGAGAAAATTCCTTACTTGCTCCAGAGGATTCTTTTAATACTTTTCTACGAAAGATTGATATTACCATTGTAATTGTGTTGGTTTTGAATGTAATATTATAACGTTTTCTTTTTTTCCAGCGATTTCTTATACGAGTGTAAGTAGCTTAATACATATAATTGGCCACTTCAGAAATGAGTTGAGGACTGGGAACGAGTTTTTAGAATAATCCTAGTTAAAAAATAAACACCATAACAAGAAAGAGTACATCGAAATTAGTAAATTTCTGGAGTTTCAAGATTTTGGGTCTCATACCTTTCGTGTAGCAGCCTCCCCAACATCTCAAAAATTACAAAAAAATGTATGGTTACTGGGGATGATTGTCCCTAGTAAACACACATTTCTTCATAATCTTTGATGTTTWTGATCGCTTATAATTTAGCTATTAATTAGCCAATCGAAGCCATGCTGCAGAAACCCGTTTATTTTGATGTGTTCTTTCTCGTCATTGAACTAATTTTTCAATCAAATTATCAATACCTTCTAAATACTCGTCCCCAGTTATTTACTCGTTTCTAAAGTGGCCAATATATAAAATTTCCCGTTATACGTTACCTTCGCAGCCAATGAGCATGTGAGTTGTCTGGGAATACATATATACATGTCTATATATGTTTCCATTGTAAGAATAAGGACATAAAAGTACACCAACAGTTGCCTGCTCAACATTATTAGGAGCTTGGTAACATTTGRCGTTTTTCCTGTCATGGTGGAAAATAGTTCGAATTCATGTAAGTCAATTCGGATTATTATAATTATATTTCATTGAGAAATTTGGTTCTGCAGCTTATTTCAACTACTTCGCCAGGGAATACTCCAGTTTCGAGTTATGCTCAGCCTTAGCCTCAGTTGTACGTTACAATATTCAACCATTCAACCAAWACCCGTGGCATTTTACTCAACACGTATTGTTTCGTAGTACGTTCATTCCTTACTATACAATGGACCTTAATGAAATAAAAGAACACATCTCTACACAATCGAGGCTGACTGAGCAAAGGCGAACTCGAAATGGGATCACAATGTTATGACATCTCAGTATCATGGTATAGAACCCTTGCATTGATTTCCTAGAGGAATTGTTCTGGGGGRAAAACAATAGGTCGTCTTTTCTTATGCAAGAAACAATCTATTGTTTTGTCCCCGAGAATAATCTATCATGTGACATGGAACTGGGGGAAAACAATAGCTCGTCTTTTCTTATGCAAAAAACAATCCATTGTTTTGTCCCCGAGAACAATTTATCATGTGACATGGAACTTTGAAAGGTATTAATGTCGAGATTGATTCTCTTAGTTTTATTGAGAAACCTGGATCTGTAATTCTTTTTACCACTTCACCAGGTTTTCTCAATAACCGTTTTGATATAATATATCTCAGTACCATGGTATGGGACATGGAACTGAGGTCTGGAAGGTGTTGATCTCTGAACCTGTAACATTGACAATGTTCAATGTAGCGATTGTTTCTTTCTTATTGGGGAAAATGGATGCGTAGTTCAACTGAATGTGAACTGCTTTGACACATTTTCTCAATATGGGATCACAATAGTGTTATGATAATTCAGTACCATGGTATGGGACATGGAACTGAGGTCTGGAAGGTGCTTATCTCTGATCCTGTAACATTGACAATATTCATGGTGATGACTGTTTTTTAAACTAAATATTACTTCTTGGAATTCACTTTTGTACTTTCCGATCCACGTACGTTCTTTGGCTGATTTCGTATTACAAATACACGTACGTAAAATAAACGTTTTGCTTTTTGAATGCGCGCCTTTTCTTACAGTCATAGAAAAAGAAAAAGAACCCGAGTTGAAGAGGAAAAGGAAGAGAGATGGAAAATCAAAATTGCACTGCCTTACCGGGATATCACAGGAGGGATATCATCTCTAGCATCAATCAGCGTTCCTACCTATACCATCTGTCCTTGACAGATATACCACCCATCCTTGCCAGCTATACTATCCATCCTTGTCAGCTACACCACCCATCCTTGCCAGCTATACCATCCATCCCTGCCAGCTATACTATCCATCCCTGCCAGCTATATCACCCATCCTTGCCAGCTATACCATCTGTCCTTGACAGAAATACCACCCATCCTTTGCCAGCTATACTATCCATTCTTGCCAGCTATACCACCCATCCTTGCCAGCTATACAATCCATCCCTGACAGCTTTACCACCCATCCTTGTCAGCTATACCATCCATCCTTGCCAGCTATACCATCTATTCTTGCAGCTATACCACCCATCCTTGCCGTCTATACCACCCATCCTTGCCAGCTATACCGCCCATCCTTGCCAGCTATACCATCCATCCTTGCCAGCTATACCACCCATCCTTGTCAGCTATACCATCCATCCTTGCCAGCTATACCATCCATTCTTGCCAGCTATACCACCCATCCTTGCCAGCTATACCACCCATCCTTGTTATCTATACCATCCATCCTTGCCAGCTATACCCCCCATCCTTGCCAGCTATACCATCCATCCTTGCCAGCTATACCCCCCATCCTTGCCATCTATACCACCCATCCTTGCCAGCTATACCATCCATCCTTGCCAGCCATACCATCCATCCTTGCGAGCTATACCATCCATCCCTGCCAGCTATACCACCCATCTTTGCCAGCTATACCATCTGTCCTTGACATATATACCACCCATCCTTGCCATTCAGTTGGTAATATTCAACACGAGACCGGAAAAGATATATACGCCGCAGTTCTAATGCAAATACTTTTTTTCTCTTCAGATTTTGTACTTGACTAAATTGGTTGTCTTGCAGGAGAACCCTTGCAACTAATAAACCGGCATGAAAAGATGTACAAATGAATACTAAAAAGCTTCCATTCAACATTGAAATAAATGAAAATTAATTGAATTAATCAATTAGCAAAACTATCACTGGAACCATTTGCCGCGGAAGGGGTGGGGCAGGGGGATATAGCCCCTCACTTTTTCCCTTCTCCCCCACTAGTCTCTGAAATTTTCCAATCTTAGCCCCCCACTTTTTTCCATATTAGTCTCAATCTTAGTCACCCCCGCTTGTTAGGGTGCTTTGCGGCCCCTGTGAACGCAAACAAATGTTTTTTTAGATTGATACAATGTAATGTAATGGGCCATTCCTAGACCAAAATATAACTATTATATACTTTATACAAACCAATAGCAATAGAATAACGAGAGGGGTAAAATACTTCCACCTGCTGCAAACAGTGAACGTCTCATTAGTAAAGGTAACTGCATGGGACTGAGTAAAATCAATAATCAATTTCAACCATATCTTCAAAATTTGTGACATAACTCTYCGCGTCTAGAATGTACTGCACTTCAAGCAGAATCAACCGAGGCTGCCAAAGATAGACAAGTCGTTTACTGACTTGTTCACTATACTTTCGTAAACGATACAAACACAATATCAATAAACACCATAATACATAGCAATGTCACGTGATTCAATATCAGTAAACACCATAATACATAGCAATGTCACGTGATTCAATATCAATAAACACCATAATACATAGCAATGTCACGTGATTCAATATCAGTAAACACCATAATACATAGCAATGTCACGTGATTCAATATCAGTAAACGCAATAATACATAGCAATGTCACGTGATTCAATATCAGTAAACACCATAATACATAGCAATGTCACGTGATTCAATATCAGTAAACACAATAATACATAGCAATGTCACGTGATTCAATATCAGTAAACACAATAATACATAGCAATGTCACGTGATTCAATATCAATAAACACMATAATACATAGCAATGTCACGTGATTCAATATCAATAATACATCATAGTAAATAATAATTTCACGTGACTAAATTTAATAAATATCACAACAAAAAATTTTGTCATCCATGATTAAAAGTCTAAAAGATAAATATGAATGAATATATAATAAACAATGAAGTCACGTGGTGTTATTTCATGTCAATAAACATGTACACGTGAAGTACGAGTCACATGAAAAATAACATTGTTATCATCATAGACAAAAGAATCACATGTGCAGCATTATTAAATGACCTCACCTTTTAACCAAAGCACGTTCACAAACACAATATAGTCCAAGTATGTTGTGTTTGTACGAATAACCTTTATACCATGGTAATAATAATAATTCATATATAACTGTACTGCTATGCACCTTGTATTAATACTAACCTCTAATATCTTGATTCCTGAAATCAAGAAAAGAGTTCTATATTATAAAAATAAGTGTTTGAAYTACCACTTGTTATATAGACAAGTGACAATATGGCTGCGTGGTCAATCAGCTGAATAGATTGAAAAGTTGTTGAAAGTGCTGACATTGCGCTAACATCAGGAAATGGCGATACAGGGCATGCGCCAAATGCACTTTAACTTAGTATATAAACACATTATTTGTTCGTTCTAGGTTTTGAAGATGGTAATGAGAGAGTGCGCATCTTTTAGTCTACCTATCACATGCCATCTTTGCTTCATCTTCCGCCAGCGTTTATAGCCGCCTGAAGCGTTATGTATAATGTACAATGTATAAAGCGTTGTGTTTGGAAGCGCGCGAAGCTCTTCAGTCTACCTACCATATGCCATCTTTGCTACATCTTCCGCTAGCGTTACAGTCTCTTGAAGTCATGTATTATGTACAATGTATGGAAATTTCAAGTTTAGAAGCGCTCGCAGCTCTATCTACCTACCACAAGCCATCTTTGCTACGTCTTCCGCCAGCGTTACAGACTCTYGGTAAGTCTTCGAGGTCATCACATTCTCTGTGCTTGTCGCAATCTCATACAAGTCATTTTCATCAACATCCGCTACATTTGGAACTGCGATGGTAAATATATCCACGGCTTTTAACCTCAGCCCTTTGGTGGCTTCATGGAGCGAGATTGATGGTCCTGGAGATTGCTTGCCGGCTAAAAACACGACAAGTACCTGGTCGATTATAGTAAAATACGACCTTGTTACTGTAGTACCTTAATACATTTTTTCGTATCTTTCAAGAATAAAAATAAGGGAAGTTCCGCCACCTAGTTAACTCAGTTCGTAAGAGCATCGGTCTGTTGTGCGGTAGGTCGTGGTTCAAGCCTCGGCCACACCAACATTCGGGGTTCTTAATCGTCTGCAAACGATTAGACCTTCAAGTTGCTTGGATGATCACTTCAAATTGGCATAAAAGAACGTAGTAAAAGAACTACTGAGGACGTAAAGAAACCCTGGCAGTGACCACCCTCAGTGCCTACACCTCATACTAACCACCTCTTGTTCATAACTCATTGTAAAGCGCCTTTGAACATATCCATATGGAAAAGAGCGCTATATAAATATCATCATCATCATCATCATCATCATCATCATCGTATAGTACCCTTGCACTGAGTCCCGAGAGGAATTGTTCTTGGGGACAAAACAATAAACTTTTTTCGCATAAGAAAATACGGCCCTTGTTTTGTCGCTAAGAACAATTTCTCCGGGAAATGAATGCAAGGGGTCTAGTGGAAAACGTGTGCAACAGGCGCTAACAATGAAATCAACCATAACACCTCCCTGCCCCACCCACGTACCTGCACACTGTTTTTGTTTTTTTAATTTTTTGCTTGTTAATTTGATTTTTTCCTTAACATACCTTCAAGACATTAGGATCATTTCTCATGCCATTGCCTGTATTAAACATTTCCTTGTCTGCAAACAGCAAAGCCTTGTCAATGAACCTGGCTTGCACCCTATCATGTGGTATTGCTGATACACGTTCTTTGACCTTCTCCATGGTAAGATCGCTGCCTTTCAAGGTATTAAAAGCGAGAATCGATTTTGGCTTAACACCTCCAAAAGTGGCTATGCTTACTCTTGTTTCTGAGGGTCCGATGCTGTAGGCGTCCACTAATGTTGAGGTAAAACTGAGCACGTTCTGCCATTTGCTGTCGATCTGAGCATCGGTTGAATCCAATAAAATGGCCAGGTCTGTTGGCTTTGAGCATATCAATTCTGGAAAGAAAAATAGGTATAATAGATTTTTTTAAAGGCACAGTCAAAGCTTGCACTTGTACATAGAAAAAGGTAAAGCTGATTAATCATTTGACAAAACAGAGCTTTGGTATACTTTTTAATTATGGCGTCATTTGACTCCCACTACCATAATGCTTGTGAATTTTCTTTCTTATTCAAATTGGTATTCCCTCATGAGAATAATAAGACAATTGGGGCTAATTAACAGAAAGTGAAAGAAAAGAAAGTGTGCAAGGGATTCTGGTAGTAGAGGTCTGAATGACACCATCATGCAAACGTCCTATACTCTCGCACTGTAAGTTCCGGCCAATTTATTTTTACTCTACTCCTTATTATTGGAGTTAAGACGTTTTGGTTTTGACGTCCTTGTTAATATTTTAGTGTAAGTGTAAGTAAGTGTTTTCTTTTGCTCGGCTTTAGCCTTAGTGGTTGTACATTAAGATATTTAGCCATTCAACCAAAACCCGTGGAATGATAATTTTAATCAACTTGTATTGCTCCGTTGTAGATACATTCAGTAAAATATACAATGGGCCTTAATGAAAGAAAATAACACATTTTCACGCCGTCGAGGCTAAGGCTGAGCGCTAGAAACTACATAGCACTCGCTTGATGTAATGTCTTCAGAAAATATATGGTATTCTATTGTTYTAAATCTATTGTATTACTTGTGATTCATTGTTAATTCATGAATATATTACATCAACTGCTGAATACGTAGAATCTCCCGACTCGAAATGGAAGTATTGTTGGTAGAGTCGAACTTTACGGTTCCCTGCTAGCAGAGTCTCTCTTCTCTTTCTCTCCCTTCTTTCTGGCGGGGAGGAAGGAGACTGCCGATGTAGAGCGTTTCCTTTGATACACCGTCGTCCACCATCGTGGACAAACAAAACCAGTTTTAAAACTGGTTTTTAACCGATTGCATGTAGTGCGCATGAGCAAATGTAACACACCGTGGCGTCAAACATTGTTTGACGAGAGCGGCTCTCAAAATCMTGACAGCGTTGCTAGGTTACGCCACGCATGCGCGACAGAAATAACGTTCTACTTCGGCAGTCTCTCATTTTTCTCTCTCAACCAAAACAAAAAGAAAATAGGCTCTGCTAGCAGGGAAACTCTACGGTTACATTCAACCAAAATGGTGGCTGTAAGAACCTCAAGTGAAAATGATAAATAATAGCTAAATAAAAAATAGATAAAATCTAATCAATAAGGAGCTATTGAATTTAGTTAACTTTGATTTAGATATTAAGTTATTAAAAATATTTTTAATTAATCGATAATGTGGAAGAGCGGAATCTTTAGTGCATCATTTATACAGTGGATTTCACATAACTTTTGACAATCGAGTTCCGAATTTTGTTCGGAAGTTCCAAAGTTTGCTGAAGAAATTCGTAAGTTCGTTACGAAGTTCGAACCAAATTACTGAAGTTCAAAACGAAGTTCGGAATGTTCGTTCCAAGGTTGGGAAATGTACTCTGTACCTAAAGCGAGCTAAAGCGGCTGTGGGGGAGACTAGCGAGCAACACGCTGGAATTTGACTTTTCACTGCCACCAGTCTAGAATATGAGAGGTACCGACTGATTGATTGGTTTTGATCGACGAAAGCGAAAAACCAAATTCCAGCGTACATCAAAAAAAAAAAAAAAAAATACACGTCTTAAATAACCTTCCTAGCACGAAAACAACTTAAAACTTGTACTCTCGTTTCATCAGTCGTGAAGATACACATCAGAAATGCCTGATAACTTTATCTCTGGAAGAATAAACTAGAAAATCCTATACTTGGTATCAGATGTTAGTTCAAAAGATTATATATTATAAACTTGTTTGGGCCTGAAAGTCATATTTGTCGGTATTTTGCCAAAATAAATGGTCGTCATTTTTCCATCGAAAGTCAAACTCGTGATTAGAGAAAGGTCCCTCTTTTCCGAAATAAAATCGCGAGAAAATGTGATTATTAGTTATTATTTTTATGGTTTATTTTTCATTCCTTTTTATCTGAGTTGACCACGATCCCCGAATGGAATTATGGGTCAACTATTTTTGGTCAACATTTTCCTAGCAGGGACTGAGTACAACGTAGATTTCTTTTGTCCACTGAAATGAAATTCCGCCAGGAGTTCGACTACCATTTACGGCCAATTTAAAGAATGAATAATTCAGTCGTATTTCACGGGTTCTCTTGGCAGAATAATGGGAACTGCTAATCCTCAATTCTGATTGGCTAAACTCGAGTTCGTTCTGAAGGTCAACTCAGATGGAGCAAGTATCCCTAAAATCAAAATTCCCGTGGAGGTTCATYCACCATTAGTATTATAATTACTATATTAGACAGGTTTCGATTCAATTATCTTTTAGGCAAGGATAATTGCTCTCTTCTTTCAAAATATACGTATTCTTGGGGTGCAACCGCAACTCTAAATCCCTTGAGATATAAATAACAATACAACAGCCGCCATGTTGGTTGATCTCACAAGAACTAATCAGTGAGGAAACGTTTTCAAGAGTTATGACGTAAAATGCACCCAAATAATACAACTATCTTAAGCTGAACATTGCACTATTTGTATCCTTTCTTTATGAATAGAGAATGATATAGTAAGACACGTGGCCGCCATGTTGGCTAACATGGCAACATTCAACATGGCGTCTATAACATCACATCTATTGTCATGATGAAATTTACTAAGTAGTAAGTTCTACTTAAAAGGGGTCTTGCATTTATATATAAAAAGCATGAAATGGCTCACGGCACAGGGTGCYGGGCACATCTAAGAATGGACGGAGAATAACAACAGCCCGATTAACAAGGCACCCGAAAGTGAGACTAAGTTAGGGTTACTTTTATCAAGTTGATTGCTGTGGAGCAAGGAAAACTGGAGAACACGAAAAGCTTGACGAGAAACCTTCGAGGAATGGAGTACGTGCTGGGGTGTCTACTGGGTGCCTTCTACATGGGTACATTGGAATCCTGCGAGGACGAATTTTTTCGTAGGAGGGATTCCACATTTCCAAAGTATATAAAACGTTTAAGAAATTTGCTATCACTGTGGTTTTCGATATTCTGCGAACTCAGACATACCAACGGCTTGTTGTGAAGTTTTTCACTGTCGCCATACAAAAATATCAAAGGTACCGACTGATTATTTTTGATTGACGGCAGCGAAAAACTAAATTTCAGAGCYCATCCAAGGGGGTTTAGGTGACAAGGGAACAGGAGCATTTACTTTTAGGGAACAGGGGAACAAATTTGTGAACTGAAAATGTTCACAATGATGCTGTTTTTGGGAATCAAATTGACAAACTTCGTATTTGGGATTATTTATAAGGAACAAAGGAACAAACAGAAAATTTACTTGGGAACAAGGAAACTTTGACCACCACTGGGAGGGCCTCATTTCAGGCTGCAGCTTGCTATTACCGAGTTCGCAGAATATCCAAAACGCATTAACCGCAGTAAGGACTGTTAAGAAGTGAGGTTATATTAATAAACCATGACCTCATTTAAGGCTGCAGCTTGCTATTACCGAGTTCGCAGAATATCCAAAAACGCATTAACCGCAGTAAGGACTGTTAAGAAGTGAGGTTATATTAATAAACCATGATTCCTTCTTGGGTTTCGATGCTTGATAACTTGTACCTAAACCACTTGATCACGTTGACATTAACGACATGTTCATTGTCCGTTTTGACAAGAAAATCRAAGATTTTAGTTTCAACCAGCATTGAGTCAAGATCTTTTTGATTTCAAAAGTATACCTTCTAGTTATCAGTTTTGTATTACCTATACATAGGTAACATACGTCCCTTTTGAAGGTATTTGGATAGACAATGACAGTTTCAATTAGTCAACCCTTAACCTCTTCTTATCGCGTTTTACACCAGTCCAACCAGCTTTACAAATCAAGGGTAATAATCCTYAAAATAAAACGCTAAATAGTGAACGTTGCTAAAACGTTTTTAAAATTAGATAAAAAACATGAAAGTAAAGCGATGTCTTTAAAGTAAAAGGAAGTAAAGGACACTTTTCTTTTCCCTTTTCATCTATTTGTGCGAAGGTCACTCAAAATAAGAAGAAAAAAAAAACAATCCAAAACATTTGGTGGAAATTTGCGGGATCCTCAGCAGTTTATAACWTAGATAATGCTAATTTTGAAAGAACTTTTTTTATTTTATTTAACGGTTGCACATTTAGTATTTAGGAGGAAAAATTATCGAAGCGCGTTGGAATGTTTAAAAAAAGCCGAATTTACAAACATGCAAGGACAGACATAACAACTTGATTAAGAGCCAAAACATAGAAGGTTCCGTTCACCATTAAATAGCAATTCAAAAACAATCAAAAGTATCAGTTATATATATGTCATGCTTGCTGCCAGCTGAATCATACCCTTCTATTATTTCATTTCTTACTTTCTCTATACTAGCTCTTTCAATTTAACCATATTCAAAGTCTTTTTTATGATATTTAACTATACTCTTTATTGCCGTATGTTTTGGTGACGGTTTAAAGTTAGAATTATATATATTATACACTGAWGGAGTACCGAGACCTTTCACCTTCCCAGGCGAAACATGAAGGAACAAGAGCGATAAGTGTGGACCAGTATCAGAAAAGACAGTTGGGAGTCTTTTAACTGGGATGGTGAAAATATCACCGTATCAGGGGTAGATTAGAGCAGAGATATACTACTTTTATAGCTATATTTATCTGATACTGTCATACTGTTGTCTCCGCAGAGATACAGGTATACGAGGTATATACAGCCAAAGAGATGAAATATTTATGTACTAAATATAATGAATGAAGCTAGATCTAGAATGTGGACTGTGTCTTTGTATCCAAGTCTTTGTATCAAAATGATAAAGATAGCGGGATGAAGGATTAATGGTTTTGGAAAGGCTGTTCATTAGACCAGCATTAGGTAGTTCAAATTCTTTCGCTAACCATTCAACGTGAAAATACTATCCAAATTAACATGTGACCTCTTTTTTTTCTATTTAAAACCATTCTTATACCTTGTTCTGTTACATTCCGAGGCAAGTCTACCTACTTTTCGTTCTCTCCTTCTCCCATGACGGATCTACCGAGAGTCAAAACATATTAGATTTTTGTCGGAAGGAGGAAATACCGATCTTTCTCCGCAGTCAAKAATTGCGTGGTCAAAATCTTGGAGATGAATCCTAATAGCTAGTTGGGGGTAAAAAGCTACTAGGTTTTTTTACTAACTGCTTAACTACCGCTTATCTATCATCAACATGCATATAATCTMTATATATATATAATCTATATAAACATCTATATATATRTRTATATATATATATCTATGTATCTGCCATGTCTTCAGGCCATCATCACAGCCCCACAGAACCCAGCAAGCAATGGCCGAAAGCTAATTGCAAAAAAAAATTAAAAGGTACATATATCTATGTGAATATACTTTCAAAGTATATTATTGCCGATCAAGAAGGTATTGTTCGACGTTTTTATATGTGCTGAGTACCGCTATTCGTAATTATTGTTACGACTTCAGTTTCTCAGACGTGAAGATGAATATAACAAACTGAAGAATTCTACAGGTTGTTACTAGCAAAAGTTTTGATGCATAAACACGTACAAAAAATAGCTATAACAATCAAAAAGAATCTAAAACTGACACTGTAAAAATTCAGAGAGAGAGAGAGAATTCAGAACACGAATACAAGATCAAGAACCTTCATCTCTGCCAAGGAAAATGAAAGATCTCGATCAAATACATACCTTCTTGACCAAGAATTTGTTGCAGACAGATAACAAGGACCAAAGCTTGTCTCCAAATGAACAGGTGCATGGTTGTTTGGTTTACCCAACACTACAACACATGCACTTAATCAAAGAAGTTCTGCTTGCCCTGGCACTGAACACTCTGGACAAGTTGAAGTAAAGTGCGCATCAACAGTCAGTCATCCACTTTCGAAAAATAATGACATTTCGTCACATCGAGACATGAGGGTGACCTCCTTTTAAGGAATAGATAAACCTGTCTTCAGTGTAGCGGAAATCTTYGTACGGATGTGCCAAGACATATTGCAATAGATAATAGATTTTTAACTCCTGGTGATGTATAAACCAACCGCACATTTGCGATCTAGGTCCTTGAAGCTCGAAAAGATGGATGAACTAATACACACTGATACCGGCTCGGCTTAATACAATGTTATAGGAATAATCCCTTGTGTAATGTCCTTTGGCTTTTAGATGAGGGGATTCCGGATATGCCGAGTTGGACTTCGAGTTCGAGTTCGAGTTACAAAGCAATACAAAAAAATATGTATTTTAGCAATATTAATATTAGAGCGTTCACCTCTTCGYTTGAGGGGAACGTTGTAAGAACGTTTGGCGAACCGTTTCGTTTACAATGCAGATCTTTTGCTTTTGTAGATAAGATTAAGAAAAATAAAGATGAGATGAGAAGGTATGCGTTCACTAGAATTCATTATCTTGCTATCATCTGGGATATTTAACCAGAATTTATGTCAAAGTCGGCATAAAAACAACAAATAGATCTTCGAACAACTTGGAACTTGATATTTCGCGTTTTCTTCCCGAAGGTTTTTTCAAGATAATCATATATGAACCGACTTTCTTACTAACAAAGAAAGGCTCAGACAATAGTCAAACACATAGGCCGGGGGTGCCCTAACGCTCCCACTTTACGAAGGGTATAAAAAATTATTTTGGGTATAAATAGCAGATATTATGGTTGCATGCAAATGATATGCAAATGAGACAACAAGCATTGTATCGACCCGATAGCCTCACTTGTATGATGATTCTCAAACAAATGAATATCACGTTGGGGGCTCAACTGTAATAACAGCTTTTCAACTTCCCATTTCGCATTTAGACATTCATGGACAACGACAGGAAGAAAAGTAAAAAAAAAAGAAAACAAAATTCATCGAAGAAAATGACCAATCAATTGCATGTATGTCTTGGGTCTTTGGACTGAATGTTTTGAGTTCACTCTTGACTACAGAGAAGAATAAAGGTAAAAAATGGATCCGAAAATGTCGTTTTCAGAGACGTTTTTCAGGTCAGGAATGATCATAGCGCCCAGCTTTAAATGAGTCAAACAAGGCTTACACTAATGAGTTATTCGTGTAGATTTTGCCAGATGCAGTTGCTGGCAAGCAGCCTTGCCACTGCAATAAACCCATTCAGAGAAATGATTGCATTAATGAGCGACAAGAATGAGTGGGTCTTCTTTTTTATCACGATAATGATGACAATACAATCATTAAAATTAACTAGGAGACAAATGCGGAGGCAAAGTAATGGGATTAGGGGCTACATCTTCACCAGCGGTGAACGTTAAGTTTCTCCAGCTTTGCTGCGAGAAATTTGTAGACAGGAAATGATGCGGCACTGTAATCCTGTATCAATAAATCATGACTACCGCCACCACGAGCCTAAACATCATCATCATCATCATCATCATCTTTCACTAGTATAAATCCAGCACCACCATCTACATCATTGAATCGTGACCACCACCACTACGTG